TCATGAGAGTGACTCGTCTTGTGTGACCGCATGCTGCTGCGGCTACGGCCACGAAAGCATGCTGCTGCTCTGATGGCTGTCGTGGTGCTGTCGCTGCGGCTGTAGCTGCGGACACCGTTATTCCGCTTCTATTCCTACCACCACCGTACAGCGGGCCCCGTGTTCACCTCATGCGACACAGGAGGTCAGCTATCCCTCCGTCTCGGTGCCTTCTTCGGGTGCATGGGCTGGCTCTGTTCTGTCGACCCAGCTGCTGCTGCTGCTGTTGTTGCCCCTGTGTCGCTGCTGCTGCTGCGGCGGCGGTTTTTGCTGCCACCGATCATACACGCTCTCGCTGCTGTTGCTAGTTTTTGTGTTACCTCTTTGCTACTGTTTCCGCTGCCCCTCCCTCCGCAGGCCCTTCAATCAGGAGCTTTCGAGGGCGTTTGGGAACGACCCGCGGTGGTTATGGGGGTACTGAATACACCCCACCGTACGCACGTCATGACGGGTGGACAGACCAGCATGCGAAGAGGAGGGACGAGGGAAGGGGAGAGGAAAGGGTGCGTGGAGCGAGGAGAGAGGGATGGGCGATGGGGAGTCCTCACTGTGTGGCGCGGTCGGTACTAGTAGCCACAGTGCTGCTACCTCATACACACATACCTCCCACCACCGGCTTCTGTATACGGGCGGATGGAGGAGGGCCACATGCTGCTGCTGCTGCTGCTGCTGCTGCTGCTTTTTGCCGAGGTTTTGCGCTGCTACACAAGATATCGTGTCATATCATATTTATCATATCTAGTGTCGTAATCACCCCTGCATTGCTGAGCCCGCACGACTGATGTGTGCAAGTTTTCCAGTTCCTACATGTCCCGTCTTCCTTGCAAGCGTCCTTCTGATCCTTATCGTTATCATGATCATCATCATCATCATCATCATCATCATCATGCGTCATCGTGATCGTCTTTTGGGGGCAAGGGCTGGCAAGGGGCCGGGTGTTTTACACCACCACAAACCAGATGGCCCTCGTTTAGAATCCTGGAGAGCGCACTATCACGGGATCTGACATCTGCAGCTGCCGATCGGTACTTTTCTGAAGTCGTGATATAGCACCCCGTAGTGGTGGGTCTAGCCACTTGCAGCCCAGTGCCGTACAGCGTCCCCTGCGGAATACAGCGGGGCAACTCCTTGCTACACCCGGGCCGAGGGCCCTTTTCGGCTTCGAAGTAGCTGACTACACTCCA